TTTGCTCTGATTCCGCTGAATAACTACGTTTGGGATTTTCACACACAAAAGGAAAGAGACTCCTCTCTTTGTCATTCTGCTTGAGGGACCCTTAACGATTTCACTCCAGGAAGGCTTCGCTGAGGTGTTCAATTCTGCTACCGAGGTAGGAGAAGTCACTTGTCGATTCTGGTTCATAGATCCAGTGTTTGGAGATACCGGATCTGAAGCAGATGGTTGAGTCTTGCTCGTTATTGACCCCGACGAAGAGGATTCAACAGCTGCAGGAGCCGAATTTGCAATAACCAGAGGTTTTACCTTTGAAAGTGAAAATGAAGGAAATTACAGATCAAGCAACAATCGCTCCTTTTTTTGTTAAAGAAAAAAAGCGATCATTATACCTCGGCTACTAATGGAACGACAGATTCGCTGCAACAAGTTTGATAACTGTTAGTTGTTTCGCACAATCATATTAGTTTATGTCAAAACATCAAAGAGCATAATACCTTCAAAGCTCTGATTTTGATTTTGGGAGATTATGGACTCCTGCACTGATACAATGAATAAATTCCCAGACCATCATGGAAGTGGATGGGTGAGGAAACTGGAGTCTAGTAAAGAATAGAGGACCTGTTCTTGGATTATGCTTCTTGCTTCGACGAGCTGAGCTTCAAGTTCAAGCTCTCTCTCTCTGTTGCTTCAGATGTAACGGATGCTCCTTTAGGTGCATCTTGTAACTGGACCATGTGTTCCCTTATTTATATGTCCCGAATAAAATAAGAAGAAACAGCTTTAATGGTTAGCCACTGATAAAAGATGGATACGCAGTGTGATTCAAATGATGGTAATAAAAACCTTTATGGAAGCCATCTTAGTACGCAAACTTTCTTCTATTTGACCTCTAGCCATCCTGTAAGGTAGATCAAAGAGGTCCTGTGTAATGAATGACTAATTAGATAGTGGGCAATCAATTATCTAAGATAATAATATTCAATCATCTAAGATTATGCATACCGTCTTCCCACCCAGTGGTTATTGTGAAGGATCAGCCTCACGTCTCTCACTGCCAGACAATGAAGGGTTAGCTGACCCGTTTGGAGCATTTAAAAAATCATGCATATCTGTCTGCAACAAAACCAAAAGATAAAAACTTTGCTTGTGAGTAAACAATGTAATTTACCAAATTAAGTACACTAGTAAAGTGTTAAGAAAGAGGTTACCTGCATGGATCGAAGCAATGCTCTTAGATTAGTGTTATCAGCCATTAACTCTTGGTTTTTCGCTTCATATGCATCCACCTGCAGGGACGACATTTTTGAATGAATTCCTTTGAAATGATGTATGATGTTAGTGATTTGTTGTGTTAGACTCATACTATCTTTTTGTACAAATGGGTATCCGTCTTCTTGCCATTCCAGGTTCCACGCTGCATCCCTTCTTTCTATTAAGTTCATCAGGCTATCAGTCAGGTGGAAAAGTCCCATATTCATCATTAAGGATTGAGATAAAAGGACCTGTAACAAATTCATAATCTCCATTCCTGATCTTGATTCGTTCTTTTTCTCCATTAATACTTGATTCAGCTTCTCCTGCAAGAGAGAGAGAGACAAAAAATTAGCTTTCATATAATGCAGAATCAAAGAGGATACAGAAAAGTCACTTCCAGGAGGTAAGATCCACAACCTGCAACTTAATGTAATCCTTTTCCTTTTTCTTCATTTCGTGTATCTGCTGAGCTTTCACTTGCTATTCAGGGAGTAGAGATTAAATATAGACAATCCATCAGTACAATTTCCTCAAGATGAAGTAGTTAATCGAAGCAGCATAAACAAATAAACAATCCTTTGGAATTCATCCCTCTCCTGCTGTAGCTTATCAATCTGGGACTTCAAAGTTGCTCAGTTTTTAGCTTCCTGTCAAAAGAGAAAATTCATAATCAAACCTCACCACAAATCAATCTAGATTCTAAACAAAAACCGTTTCAGCTGAAACTTGACAGGACTCAGCTGTTCTGGTAATTGTTGCAATTTCCCTGTCCTTCTGTTGGAGTTGCGCTTCAAGCTTCTCAACTTTAGCTTCAAGTCTAGCAATATTCGATTGTTGCCTAGACAACACAGTAAGGGAAGGCAAATAAACCATAACGCAACCCTTTAAAGAATCAGAGTAGAAATTTTCAAACATCAAACTAGATTAGATTATAGCAGCGTAAACCAATAAAACTGCAAGAATATATAGCCAAATGAATTACAAACGATAACCCCGCAGAAGCACGCAATAAGATCCCAAATTTTCTTTAACAATATTATCATACCTGAAACACTAAATAACTAAACAATGAATGATATCAAGTGGCTCGAGAAACCGCAATCCAATTGAAAGAAGGAAGAAAATGTTCACCTTTGTCTCTGCTCGTTAGCACATTCTCTAAACTCTATATACATACAATTGCAAGTCCTTGAGATTGAAACCTAATCAACCAAAACCACCCTAA